TGTGTGTGTGTGTGTGTGTGTGTATGTGTCTGACTATGTGTGACTGTGTGTGTTTGTGCCTGACTGTGTCTGTGTATGTGTGTGTGTGTATGACTGTGTGTGTGTGTTTGTATGTCTGACTGTGTGTGTGTTTGTGTCTGACTGTGTGTGTGTTTGTGTCTGTGTGTGTGTTTGTGTCTGACTGTGTGTGTGTATGACTGTGTTTGTGTTTGTGTCTGTGTGTGTGTTTGTGTCTGTCTGTGTGTGTGTTTGTGTCTGACTGTGTGTGTGTTTGTGTCTGACTGTGTGTGTGTGAGTGTGTGTGTGTATGTGTGTGAGTGTGTGTGTGTATGTGTCTGACTGTGTGTGTGTGTGTATGTGTATTTAGAAGGTGGGGCGGGGGGTGCCTGAGTTTTGTCCTGCCTAGGGCAGCACAAAACCGGGATACACCACTGCCTGTCACATATGCATTCACACAGACACTAAATACAAAAAAGCACATGTAGTCATCCAGACATGCAAAAGGGCATTCACACAGAGTCAAATACAAACATGCATTGATACACAGGTCTTCACAATATACACATCCAAAGGAATGCCGTATTGTGAGTTATATTTAACATTTATTTAATGCACATATGTTTGGCCTTCAAAGGGCCTGGGATCTAATTTTGCCCGGGAGCCCCAAAGGCTCTCAGTCCGCCCCTGCACACACTGTATCCACTACACAGACACACACATTGCATCCACTACACAGACACACACTGAATCCACTACACAGACACACACATTGCATCCCATACACCAGCCATGCCAATCTCGCGGCCCACAACTGGCGAGGGAGCGCTGAGTGTAAGCTCTCCCTGCTCAGCTCTACACAGTGATGCCGGCAGCCGGAATATGACAGGGGGGGAGGCGGGGCGTAATTTTTTTGCTGCCTCTCTAAAAGTGTCACCCTAGCTTTGTCAGCCTCGTGGTAAATACATTGCTGCATCCAGTACACAAGCACACACTGCATTAACTACACACACTACATACAATGCACAAACTGCTTCCACTACTAAAACCTCAGATACTGCATTCACTACACACACGGCATACATTAATGGATATGGGTGTGTTTGGTAAGCATGGTTCTTTTTTTAGGGGGGTGAGGCAACATTTGATCTATGGACTTGGGCAGCACATTGCCTTGATCTGGCCCTGGCCCAGTTACTGGTTCCATTCATGCTGTTATGCTTTTATGGCAGTAGTCCACTACACAGGGTCCATTGCACTGCTGTGGGCGGCTGTCTGGTACAGCATGAAATTTATAGATGTGTGCTTCAGTTCACGTGGTGCAGTTACCTGGAAGATAAGGGTTGAGCACCAGAATATGATTTCAAGTGCCTGTAAATCCAAGCTAGTAAAAGGAGAGCTGAAGCTCTTTAATAAGTGTTAAGACCTACAGTGGTTGGTTCCCTCTCCCAACAGCTGAGCTTGAGTGATTATAGCTGCGGCAGGGAGTAGAAGAATAAGATAGATGAAATGCAGTTCCAAGGTGATTCTTCCCAGCAAGTAGAATATCCCCCAAACATGAGCCTAGACTTCATGAAGGGTGTAACAGGAATGAATTTTATTGACAACACTGGCTTTTATGAGAAATCCTCCTGCAAGAGGACCTCCCACAGCAAACAAAGACAATAACCAATCAACACACAGTTTTACAGTAATACACGCCTCCTCTCTGCCTGGGAGATATTGAGATAAGTTAAGGAATAAACCAATTATCTCCAGGCAGAGAGCACACAATTTCCTCAAAACTTAGAACACCCCTTTCCCCACAAGGTATTCCCACAAATTACATCTCCCCTGATAGCCCCGATCTGGGGGACAAACATATCCAAATTTCACCCAGATCGGTTCAGGGGTTCTGAAAAAGTGTGGAGGGTCATTAAATGGGACGACTAATTAGAGTAGCACTCCAAGCACCATAACCATTATGGTGCACTGTAGTGGTTAATGTGCCAGGAAAGCCCTAGCATCCACACCCTGCTGTAAATAGTAAAATCAGTTTAGAACAGTTAGACTTCTTATCTGGGGTCCACAGGGGAGCCACTCCCTGTCTTCTCTTATCCACTTAACCTGATTGCTAAGCCCTGCACTTCTGGGTTCGCTCAGACATAGAGCTATGAACATTCAGCAGATCTTAGGTAAGTAGTCAAACTCTTCTAAAATAGTTTTGCTACTTACATCAGGCTAGTCAGACACCATAACCATAACCACTACACTAAATTATCAGTATAAGCACTAAAACAACTTAATGAAGTGGTTTTGGTGTATAGATCATTCTCCTGTTGCCTCAACACTCAATTCTCTGCCATTTATCTTTTCTTTCTGTGATTCACATAGCCTCCCAAAACACTTCCTAAGAAGAAATGTTCACTTTGGTAGCTATTTTATGTTCAGTTTCTTCTGTTTCAATATCAGACAGTGTTTACTGTAGAAGTTTTAATCTCCTGTTCTTAACAAAAGAAGAAATCAAAATTTCACAGGAAGATACAAGAATTTTAAGAAAAGACGTTATATAGTTAGAGTTGAGCAAACCCGAACTTTAAAGTTCGTGTTCGTACTGAACATTACAATTTTTGGACTTTGGACCCGAACACGGACATTTCAGTGAATGTTCGGGTTCGAGTTAGGTGTTCGGCGATTTAATGCCGTGTTTTGAAAAGCTGCAGGGCAGCCAATCAACAAGCGTTTGACTTGTGTGCCCTTAGAAGCCATCACAGCCATGCCTACTAATGGCATGGCTGTGATTGGCCAGTGCAGCATGTGACCCAGCCTCTATATAAGCTGCAGTGACATAGCGCCACACGTCACATGAGCTGTTATTAGTGTAGGGAGAGGATGCTGCAGCTGTGAGGGACAGATTAGGAAAGAATTCTGGTGTTGAATCTGCAAACTACAGCGATTATTTTTGTGGGTACAATCCTACATTATTGTACCCTGCCCTGAGCCCAGTGCCACAGAGAAACAATCAATCAGTATTTTTGTTAATGTGCTAGACACATTACTTTAATCCTGTTTTGGTAGCATCTGCAACATCTAGGCATTTTTAAATACTGCTGTGAGCTCAGTGGACAACATGTAGGCATTTTTAAATACTGCTGTGACATCACAGTTTTAAAAATTCACATTTTTTTGGTGCTAAAAAGTACATTTAGGGCGTGCACTTCATATCTGAGAGTCAAATAGAACCGTCAAATACTGTGGTTACATCGCAGTTTTAAAAATTCTAATTTTTTGGGTGCTAAAAAGTACATTTGGGGTGTGCACTTCATATCTGAGAGTCAAGTAGAACCGTCAATTACTGTGGTTACATTGCAGTTTTACAAATTAAATTTTTTTTGGTGCTAAATAGTACATTTGGGGTGTATGTGTGCAACACTGGCTAGTTACCGCTTCTCAAGAAAGTCTAAAGACAAATAAATGTTGCCTATGGTGCAGGTAGTATAGAAGGCAAGGCTGAGACAAATCATTCGGGTTACGTTTGCCTGTTGACATGTTAAAGGGAAACTCCAGTTTCAATGCTTTTCAATGCTTTCCTATGGGGAATTGAGCGACGCTGGAGGTCCTCACACAGCGTGAGGACGTCCAGCGACGATCTTGCACAGGTTTTCTGTGCTATGAAGGAGGAAGTGCCCTCTAGTGGCTGTCTAGTAGACAGCCACTAGAGGTGGAGTTAACCCTGCAAGGTCATTATTGCAGTTTATAAAAAACTGCAATAATTACACTTGCAGGGTTAAGAGTAGTGGTAGTTGGCACCCAGACCACTCCAATGGGCAGAAGTGGTCTGGGTGCCTGGAGTGTCCCTTTAATTAACTTAGACCATTAAAATTCAATAATCAATGAAAAAAAGTGTCATACAAAAATATGTATTATAGACAAGTTAAAAACAAGACTACAAGTTATGCTATAACAAAATTAAACAAGTGTTAAAATATGTATGGGCCACCCAGTGGCTGTAAAAACAAAGTTTTAATGGTTACATTCATAACTACACACTCTAGTGAATGTCCCAATATTTTGGGGGCTATCCCTATTAAAAACAAAACAAAAAACAAAACAAACAAATAAAAAACAGTGTTGGCTACCTCCTCCTCCACCGCCGCTTCCACCTACACCGCCACGGTCACCGCCTCCTCAACCTCCTACTCCACATCCACCTCCTCCTCCTAGTTCAAGATTATTATTTTTAATTTTTATGTATTTTATGTTATTTTAAGTTATTTCCCTATCCACATTTGTTTGCAGGGCACTTGTCCTACTCTTACCCCCATTTTACTTCTTTTGCAGCCCTCTAGCCCTTTCCAGGACTTTTTAGAGGCATTTTAGTGCCGAAAAGTTCGGGTCCCCATTGACTTCAATGGGGTTCGGGTTCAGGGTCAATTTCGAGCCCGAACTCGAACTTTTTGACGAAGTTCGGCTGAACTCGGCGAACTCGAACATCCAGGTGTCCGCTCAACTCTAATCATAGCACAATGTGAATATTTATTTTATATAATTATTTAAAAATCTAGTACTTACATAATTAATAATGTTAATGCACATATTTTCTTTACTAATATCTATTTTCACGTATGATAACGTTGCCTGCAGAACAAGTAGGATTTTTGGACTTGGGAAAATAATTGTGAAAAATAATAAATGCACATTTTATTTTATTTTTGCCATTCAACTTTTATTTTTGTAATAAAATCAGTAATGCACAGCACATGCACTGCTAAGCATCTAAATTAGTACAATGAATAGTTCCTAAACTAGAGACTTGAGAGTCAATTTTGACATTTAGCAAGTTTTAATCCATTCTTTGCATATTATTTTTTTTAACAATCTTTTAAGAAAGGCATGGGTGCTAAAATACACTTGCTAATATGTAATCATTGAAGACAAATCACTGTATATTTCCATTATGATAACCACGTTTGAGGATGGCAATGTGCCAGATATTCACTGAAATAAAAAAAATTTAATTAAAAAAACTGAAACCACACAACTAAACAAAACTCACACAACAAACATCTGAGAATCTGGACACTTCATATCAGTGTTTTGAAGAGTTTCATTAATATCTTAAGCATGTTTAATTTTAAATTGCCAATTTAATTTCAATTACACCAGAAAGTTATGGCTGCATCGCCAAGACTGGGTCTGCTTAATAAAAGAGTTTAATATGACTTAACATTAAAAGCTCACGCTAACCCGAAATATATAATATCACGCATACGTTAACATTCAACATTCAAGTGCCAGTGTTTTTGTACTCTCTTTTGGTCAAATTTCTTTAAACGTTCAAAGAATCACTTAGGCTTACAAAAATAAATATTTGTCAAAATGTTCAATAAATATTACACAAAACTAGCAGCAAAAAAGTATCTAGAAATCGATTGTGTGCAAAATAGTTTCCTTACCCAACTAAATACACCCCTGGTCCCTAATAAGTCTCAATCTTGCCCTACACTGAAGAAGTGTGCCTCCCACTCATCTCAGAGACATATAGATTTGAGGTTAAAAGGACACGCACACAATATGTGCAATAAAATACGTTTTCTATAAAGTTATGGGCTAAATGTACAAGGGCCGCCTATATTTTATATAGCACCATAACAAATGACCTCAATACTGTCAAGTGCACTTACAAAAAGTTTACCGCAAGGCACAATACGCATGTATAATATATTGCACTTTAGAATTTGCCGATCCTATGCCACCAAGTTTTTAAATTTTGCTACATACGGTAAGTTAACCCCTTAAGGACCAAACTTCTGGAATAAAAGTTAATCATGACATGTCACACATGTCATGTGTCCTTAAGGGGTTAAATTTCAAGTGGCAGTGGAGTGTTAAAAAAAGATGGGAATAAGTCTTTGGCCAGATTTAGCATTTACATATTAAATACAATGAAACCTATGCAACTATGTCACTAGTCTAATACTATCCTTACCTTTTTGTGTCATTTTACCCCACTCCCTCTAGCATGTAAGCTCATTGAGCAGGGCCCTCAACCCCTCTGTTCCTGTGTGTCCAACATGTTTGGTTACAACTACATGTCTGTTCGTCCACCCATTGTAAAGCGCTGTGGAATTTGACGGCGCTCTATAAATATCATAATAAATATAATAATAACTAAAACTGACTAAACTGCGCATGTTAGCAGATTGACACGTTGTGCAGTCATGTACATTTTTTACCACCACTGATATTTAATTTAATCGTCTGGAGCCATTTTACAAAGTCTACTGCAAGCCAAGTATGTTTAACTTCCCGACGCAGCTTGAACAGAGTAATGTTATCTGCATTAAAATAAAGCCTGCTGCATAATTCTTCCTGTTCATACCCTCTTGACCAAAAAACATCAACACTAGCATGCGTTATTAGACCAAAATCAGCCAAGCCTGGAACAGAACCACATACTGCTGTGGTTAGCCATTCTGCCACATTTCATGACAGGCGTACATAAATTTAAAGATGATACCTCCCACAAACTATTTCAAGTCTCAGATTGTTTTAATTTTCCTTGTGTGTTCGGCCCATATTTGACTAGCTCACAAGTCATGATCTGCCTAGACATTGTTAAAGGAATTGCTGTATTTTCTTGCATTCGCTGAAAACAGCGCTTTGTATGCCTGAACGTTCATACACAACACACCGTTGTGACTGGAATGGCTTATTAAGAAGACTTCAGGTTCTATGTACCTGTCCAGGATAGAGTGAGCAAATCGGAACTTAGCTTGTTACAGTTCGCCACATTAGAACTATTTTTGTCTGATATGCTTCAAGGTATTTGCCCCAAAGTGGCAATTTAACAGAAACCATAATGCATGCTTACTGCACAAGTTTTTCCTTCTAAAATTAAAGGAACACTATAGTCACCTAAATGACTTTACCTAAATAAAGCAGTTTTAGTGTATAGATCATTCCCCTGCAATTTCACTGCTCAATTCACTGTCATTTAGGAGTTAAATCACTTTGTTTCTGTTTATGCAGCCCTAGCCACACCTCCCCTGGCTATGATTGACAGAGCCTGCATGAAAAAAAAAAACTGGTTTAACTTTCAAACAGATGTAATTTACCTTAAATATTTGTATCTCAATCTCTAAATTGAACTTTAATCACATACAGGAGGCTCTTGCAGGGTCTAGCAAACTATTAACATAGCAGGGGATAAGAAAATCTTAATTAAACAGAACTTGCAATAAAGAAAGCCTAAATAGGGCTCTCTTTACAGGAAGTGTTTATGGAAGGCTGTGCAAGTCACATGCAGGGAGGTGTGACTAGGGTTCATAAACAAAGGGATTTAACTCCTAAATGGCAGAGAATTGAGCAGTGAGGCTGCAGGGGCATGTTCTATACACCAAACCTGCTTCATTAAGCTAAAGTTGTTCAGGTGACTATAGTGTCCCTTTCATTGTGAATGAAACGATTCCTGTTTTGAGTTGTATCACACCTGTGTGCCAAGGTTTGATCTTGCCCAAGTTCAATACATTTATTTTGTCATAACAATTTTTTATTTAGAGCAATACTGAGTCAACAGGACATGACAAAAAAAGCTGTCTAAAGTTAAAGGCACAGTACATTAAACAAATTATCCTCAGTCAAAATAAATACAGTTGTTGGGATCGGGGTGGATTTGGGAGTTAATCCAAAACTATACAAATGAAGTCTTCAACACCAGAGTAAGTCTTCCCCCTGATTCCCCCCAATTTATCTTCATGGCCCAGAGCTCCCTTGGAAAACAAAATTCTGTGGAGAATCACAGTTGGTAATGTACAAGTTCTTTGAAGCTACACAAGGTATAGTCTGGCTAAGTTACATGTGGTTTTCATATTAGCTTGTTTGGTTGAGTCATTTCACGTGGGAGCTGCCACCGTAATTCCCACCATAGCCATCATTGTTATAGAATACACCATAGCCACCTCCACCAAATCCTCTGCTACCACCATGGCCACTACTACAAACCAAAGAAAAACAAGTTACCTGCGTTCTCTCCTTAAGCCCTATGTATTTTTAAACAAATTGAGGTTTTTTAGTTACCTCCAATGGCCATAAGAGGATGAGTCCATCTGCCAACGTCAAGGCAGCGTTTTCCCTATTAAGGGTTAATAATATATAGGGGTGTATATAAAAAATACCCCTTTCTGTCTCATTAGAGATTTTTGCCAGGGGCTCAAGGAAGCAAGGTGAATGGTTAGAGTTAGTACCCACCTAGGGAGGTCTGCCTTGACGTTGGCAGGTGGGCTCATCCTCTCATGGCCATTGAAGGTAACTAAAAAAACCTCCATTTGTTTAAAAATACATAGGGATTAGGGAGAGAGCGCAGGTAACTTGTTTTTCTTTGGTTTTTACTATATATTGGGGCTGATGTGTACTGTAGTCATTGTTGCCGCCCAGTGATGGGAGTGAGCGCAGGACTTATCTTTCGTCATTTATGCCCACTACTACGTCCTCCACGGCTGCTGCTGCCAAAGCTATTTGGTGCACCACTGCTCGTTCTATAATCTCTATTGCCGAATCCACCGCTGAACCGACTCTTTGAATGGCCACGAGTGCCTTGTTCTCCAACCATGATGGTACTTCTTGTTTTGCTTACACAAGCAGATCCAACAAATCCTGTTTTATATTTATATTCTTTTCATTGAAAAAAGATGTTGCAAGACCCAGATTACCAACACGACCAGTACGGCCAATGAGATGTATGTATTCTTCCATGTCACTCGGCAGATCAAAGTTTATAACATGTTTCACGTTTGAAATATCAAGGCCTCTAGCCGCAACAGTAGTGGCAACAACAATTGGGCTCTTCCCTGAATGGAACTGATGAAGTGCTTCTTCTCTGTCTCTCTGAGAGTGATCTCCATGTATAACCTTCATGGTACAGGAAGTCCTCAAGAGCATCTGCTCCCTTTTTGGTATCCACAAAAACTAGTGTTAATGAGTCTTTTCCTGTAGCATTCAGGAAATCCAGCAAAAATGAACGCTTATCCAACTCCTCTACCCAAACTACTTTTTGAGTAATATTTTCAGATGTAGAACCAACTCTGCCAACTGCCAGGAAGATATATTCATCCAAGAAGTCACGAGCAAGTATCTGAATTTCTATGGGGAAAGTAGCACTAAACATCATAGTCTGACAAACACCCTTTGGAGGCATTGCATCTTGTTCAACAATTTGCCGAATTTGAGGCTCAAAACCCACGTCAAGCATTCTGTCTACTTCATCAAGAACTAAATATCTGCAGAAGTCCAAGCCAATTTCCCCCCGCTCCATCATGTCTACTAGGCGGCCTGGAGTAGCAACAAGCAAGTGGCAGCTGCGTTCCAAGTCCTGAATCTGCTGCTGTAACGAGAATATACCCCTACACGCAGGATCCAGCTAAACAGAAGCCAATACAGAGGAGAGATACGTCTACCGGACCTTAGAATGGCCGGACTCGACGTATATGAGAGGAGACAGAGCCAGGAACAAACCGAGGTCAAGGGCACAGAGAGACAGCGTAAACTAGGACAAGCCGGGGTCTGGTACACGGAAAACAGCAAGCCGGCAAACAGTACAGATAAGGATAAAGCGAAAACGAAGTCAGAATACGAAGCCAAAGTCAATACGAGAAAACACAACTGAACACCACAAGCGCTAAAGGGAACTGAAACAGAAACCACGATAGGGCAACGAGCTAAGGGAAAAAGGTAAGTTTAAATAGCTTTTAAACGAAAGTGATTGGCTCCTGTCACTTCCACACCCCCAAAAGGTAATTGTATAGGGAGTGTGGTATGACAGGAGCCAATGGGAGCCTTTTGGCAATTAGGCTCCCACTGTCTCTTTAAGAGCGCGCCCGAGACTCGCGGCGCGCTCTTAGTTTCAGGCGGGACACGTGACCGCTTCACGCGGTCACTGCCCGCCTTCCATCTAAAGCAGTCGGATGAGCCGCGCGCGGCTCGTGCAGCCGCAGGACCGCGCGCGGCTTGAAGAGAGGACCGCGACCGGCCCCCGGTTAAGGTAAGTAACGCTACAGTACCCCCCCCTGAGGACACGCCCTCCGGGCGGGTAGGACCAGGCCTGGCAGGAAAACGAGAATGGAAAGAGCGCACAAGACGGGGAGCATGAACAGCATCAGCCGAAATCCAACTGTGCTCCTCAGGCCCATAACCCTTCCAATGTACCAAGTACTGAAGTCGACCCCTAAGGAAACGAGAGTCAAGAACAGCAGACACTTCGAACTCCTCATGACCCTCCACTGAGATAGGAGGGGGAGGAGGAGTATGCCGGGTATAGCGGTTGCGTACGTAAGGTTTCAACAATGAGGTGTGAAAGACATTAGGAATACGTAGATTCTTAGGCAGGCCTAAGGCATAAGAAACAGGATTAACCTTATGTATAATACGATAAGGTCCAATGAAGCGGGGAGCCAATTTCATAGAAGGCACCCGGAGACGAATATTCCGCGTGGAAAGCAAAACCCTGTCTCCCACAACATAGGACGGAGCTGCTCTGCGATGCTTGTCAGCCTGAGCCTTCTGGCGAGTAGCAGAGTCCACCAAAGAACGCTGAACCTGCTCCCAAGTATTACGCAAACCAGCCAAATGCTCATCCAGAACTGGCATGCCCTGTGAGGAGAATGCAGCCGGAAGAACAACGGGATGCTGGCCATAGACAACGTAAAAAGGGCTCTTGCCGGAAGAATCATGAGTGGCGTTATTCCGAGCAAATTCAGCCCAAGGAAGCAGGTCAGACCAATTGTCCTGATGGTGAGACACAAAACAACGGAGGTATTGCTCCAGAGACTGGTTGGCACGTTCAGCAGCCCCATTAGACTGGGGATGATAAGCGGAAGAAAATGAGAGAGAAATACCCATTTCTGAACAAAAGGCCCTCCAGAACCTGGAAATAAATTGGCTACCCCTATCGGATACAATAGATACGGGAATACCATGTAATCGAAATACTTCTCTAGCGAAGATATGAGCCAGTTCCTTGGATGTGGGCAACTTGTGAAGAGACACGAAGTGAGCCATCTTGGAAAACCGATCCACTATCATCAGGATTACTGTGTTACCATTTGAAGGGGGTAATTCAACAATAAAATCCATGGACAGGTTAGACCAAGGTCTCTCGGGAACGGGTAACGGATGCAACAGCCCACAAGGAACTCTACGGGAGGATTTCATACAGGCACAAGTAGTACAAGCACTTATATAGTCAGTGACATCCTTTCGTAAGGAATCCCACCAAAAATACCGAGAAACAGCTGACACCGTTTTGGAAATACCAGGATGTCCAGCAGTCTTAGTATCATGATATAATGACATAATATCCCGTCTCTCGGGAACATCAACGAACAGTTTATCATTAGGCCTCTCGCTAGGTGCCATGCTTTGTTTCGCTTGTATGGCCTGCAAGAGGGACGAGGAAATAGACAAAATAGTAGTAGCTATTATCCTGTCTGGGGGAATGACAGGAGTAACATCAATCTCCTGTTTGTCAGTAGTTTCGAACTGTCTGGACAGAGCGTCTGCTTTAGTGTTGCGATCACCTGGCCTATAGGTGATAATAAAATTGAAACGGGACAAAAATAGTGACCACCTAGCCTGCCTGGAAGACAATCTTTTGGCTTCGCTAAGGTAGGATAGGTTCTTGTGATCCGTAAAAATGAGGATAGGATCCTTAGTTCCTTCTAACAAATGTCTCCACTCTTTAAGTGCTAAAATAATAGCAAGGAGTTCGCGATTACCCACATCATAATTTTTCTCTGCTTTGGACATTTGTTTAGAAAAGAAGCCGCATGGATGCAATGGCTTTTCAGGCGACTCTCTTTGGGATAAGACAGCACCTACCCCAATATCCGAAGCATCAACTTCAAGAATATAGGGCAGTGAGGGGACAGGATGCTGTAAAATAGGTGCAGAGGCGAACGTAGTTTTAAGAAATTCAAAAGCCTGAAGTGCCTCGGTAGACCAAACACGAGTATTGCCATCCTTTTTAGTCATACGGGTAATAGGTGCTACAATGGACGAGAAACCTTTGATAAAACGTCTATAATAATTGGAGAACCCAAGAAAACGCTGAATAGCTTTCAGACCTTGCGGTAGAGGCCATTCTATTACAGCAGCAAGCTTCTGGGGATCCATACGAAAACCTTTAGCGGAAATCAAATACCCCAAGAACTGGACTTCGGTTTGGTCAAACAGACATTTTTCTAGCTTGCAATAAAGACCATTAGCAAGAAGGGTCTTCAAAACTGTCGTAACATGTCTGTGATGAGTGTGTATGTCTGTAGAATATATTAAAATGTCGTCCAAGTATACGATAACAAATGTGTGAATAAAATCTCTTAAGACATCATTAATAAATTCTTGGAATACTGCTGGGGCATTGCAAAGCCCAAATGGCATAACAGTATATTCGTAATGACCGGATCTAGTGTTGAATGCAGTCTTCCATTCGTGATTTTCCTTTATACGTATCAAATTGTATGCACTCCTAAGGTCTAATTTAGTGAACACAGTGGCATGTTTCAGCCTGTCAAATAATTCTGTAATTAAAGGTATAGGGTATGCATTTTTGATAGTGATTTTGTTTAGACCTCTATAATCTATACACGGTCTTAAATCACCTTCTTTCTTCGATACAAAGAAGAACCCTGCTCCAGCTGGAGAAGAGGATCTCCTAATAAACCCCTTTTCTAGTGATTCCTTAATATACTCCTCCATGACACGGTTTTCTTGAACCGATAAGGGGTACACCCTGCCCTTTGGAGGTATAGTGCCAGGCAACAAGTCAATAGCACAATCATAGGGTCTGTGAGGCGGTAATTTCTCAGCCTCCCTTTTATCGAAAACAGTCTTTAGAGATAAATACTGAGGGGGTATAGCCGTAGACAAAGGAGGACTGGTAGGTACCTTAATAGAATTCAAAGGTGTGACTTCAAACGTACAAGACTCGTGGCAGGCCTCACTCCATGATTTTATTTGCCCTGTCTCCCAGTCAAAAATGGGATTGTGAGCACGTAACCATGGATACCCTAATACTAACTGTGAAGAGGGAGAGGTGATGACCTGGAATCGAATGGTTTCATAGTGTAAAACCCCTGTGTACATGTGTAATGGTACAGTCTCATGAGTAACAACTGGAGAACTTAATGGTCTACCATCTATGGCCTCAACGGCCAAGGGTATCTCCTTCTCTCTGATGGGAATGTTGTTTCTCTTTATAAAGCCAGAGTCTATAAAATTTTCAGCTGCCCCAGAGTCAACCAGAGCATATATGTTGTCAACTATACAAATCTCTCCCATATATAAAGAAACCGGGAGAAGCAAGCGGTTAGGAGGCAATTTAGGAGACTTAGATATCACACCCAAGGCCAGTCCCCTATAAGGTCTTAGGTGCGAGAGTTTTCCGGGAGTAAAGGACATTCCTTTACCATATGGTCTCTCCTACCACAGTATAGGCAGAGTCCCTCCCTTCTCCTATGTAATTTCTCAGTATCAGAGAGTTTGGCAACCCCTAATTGCATAGGTTCCTCCTCAGACACTTTAACACTCTCTGGTATATTAACTCTGGGGTTAATGGGTGTAACAAAACGTCTATTCCTGTTCTTGGTATAGAGCCTGTCACGAATTCTATTATCTATATCAATGAGGTAATCAATAAGGTCCTCTAAGGCAATAGGAAGCTCCTTAGCTGCTACCTCATCCAATATCGTATCTGACAAACCTTCCATGAAGGCAGTAGTTAACCCATTGTTGGTCCAATCTACCTGCGAAGCAAGAGTGCGAAACTGAATAGCATAATCAGCCACAGACCTAGAACCCTGTTTAATTCTCATTAATGCTCTCGCGGCATTCTTTGACCTTTTCATTGTGTCAAAAGTTCTACGAAAAGCCGTAAGAAAACTGTTGAAATCATGTACCATAGGTCCATTAGCTTCCCAAATAGGATTTGCCCACTCAAGTGCCTTATCGGTAAGTTGGTGCATAAAGAACCCAACCTTAGACCTCTCTGTGGGAAATGAACGTGGATACATTTCGAAGTGGAATTCAATTTGATTAATAAACCCTCTGCAAGTCTTAGAGTCCCCTCCATACCTAGGAGGAGGTGTTAAATGGGCCGAAGTATTAGGCAAAGTAGATACTTCAGGGAGAAGGGGCGTAGGAGGGTTAGGTGTGGTTGCTGGAACGGTTCTAGCTAGGAGCGTCTGGAGAGCCTGGGCTATCTGATCCATACGGTGATCCTGCTCTACAAATCTTGCCTCATGGGACGCCATCTGTTGAGCTAAATCTGCGGGGTCCATGGCCCTATCGTAATGTAACGAGAATATACCCCTACATGCAGGATCCAGCTAAACAGAAGCCAATACAGAGGAGAGATACGTCTACCGGACCTTAGAATGGCCGGACTCGACGTATATGAGAGGAGACAGAGCCAGGAACAAACCGAGGTCAAGGGCACAGAGAGACAGCGTAAACTAGGACAAGCCGGGGTCTGGTACACGGAAAACAGCAAGCCGGCAAACAGTACAGATAAGGATAAAGCGAAAACGAAGTCAGAATACGAAGCCAAAGTCAATACGAGAAAACACAACTGAACACCACAAGCGCTAAAGGGAACTGAAACAGAAACCACGATAGGGCAACGAGCTAAGGGAAAAAGGTAAGTTTAAATAGCTTTTAAACGAAAGTGATTGGCTCCTGTCACTTCCACACCCCCAAAAGGTAATTGTATAGGGAGTGTGGTATGACAGGAGCCAATGGGAGCCTTTTGGCAATTAGGCTCCCACTGTCTCTTTAAGAGCGCGCCCGAGACTCGCGGCGCGCTCTTAGTTTCAGGCGGGACACGTGACCGCTTCACGCGGTCACTGCCCGCCTTCCATCTAAAGCAGTCGGATGAGCCGCGCGCGGCTCGTGCAGCCGCAGGACCGCGCGCGGCTTGAAGAGAGGACCGCGACCGGCCCCCGGTTAAGGTAAGTAACGCTACAGCTGCCCAATATCTGCTCCTCCATATACAACACATGGAGGAACTTTGGATTGGTATTCAAACTTTCGTGCTTCTTCATAGATTTGTACTGCAAGCTTACGTGTTGGAGCCAGAACCAGTGATAGAGGAAACGGTTTGCGCTTTCCATATCTTCCATTATCCTTTAAGTGTTTCACAGCATCTCCAGGACCACCTACATATATTTGGCCGAGAATGGGTAGAAGAAAAGCTGCAGTTTTTCCAGAGCCTGTCTGTGCACAAGCCATCAAGTCCCTTTTTTCTATGATTATGGGAATGGCATGTTTATGCAGTGGAGTTGGCCGCATGTAACTAGTCAGCTAAATATTCCCCATTATTATTTCTCCCATATGAACATCTTGAAAGGACTCAATGTGCGGAGGGCAGTTGTTGCCCGTTGCTTCAACTGGAATATCATCATACTTCTCAAAGTTAATGCCTGTATTGCCTCCAGAAAAGAGCTCCTGTTCAATGCTATCCTTTGGAGCAAGAGGTTTTGACCAATCATCTTCTTCATTTCTTTCATCTGACCACCGGCTACTACTACGTTCAAATCTACCAAATTAACTTCTGTCTCCACGACTGCTTATTCCATCAAATCCATCTGGGCAACAGTCCTCAGATCTCCTGGTTCCACTTACTCTAGCATTAAATACACCTGCTTTGCCACAAGACCCAACACTGCTGTATTCATCTTTGTCTCTTGAGTTCCAGCTAGAGTTATTATCTCTGTCATAGCTATTGCGATGACATCCATTTATTCGATCATCGGTTCCATTAATGTAGCCATTACCCCCACGTGAGTCCCAATTTGAATCTTGTCTTGAAGCCTCTTTGTTTCTTAAGTGTGGGGAGATGTAACAACGTTTAGTTGCTGCACCACCACTTTGTTCGTCAGAGTTCAAGCCTAGGCCAGCAAACTGCTGATCTAAAGCATGGACATTTTCGATGGCCACATGACTCGTAACTAAAGTGCAGGAAGGCCGGGATCACTCGAGCTGGAATTCACGGACACTTAGTATCGGGAAGACGGGCGAGGATCGGCTATTCTTTCGGTAGATGTCGGATGGACAGTTATTGCTTTGAGTTCTTTTTTACAGTTACAACACAAAGAAAACAAAAATAAAATATGTAATAAAGATAGTTGCTGTTATCCCTAAATAATGCAGTTTGTCTAGCCTTTAAGATGCTATAACGCATGACACAAACAGTGCGAGATGCTGCTCCCAACTGAACGCCGGAAAGAGCCGGGCCATCCTGTTAAATACGAACGCCTTGGCTGAAGACATCAATGGTGCAATGCTGGGAAATTGCCACTGGTGTTGTGGGAGGGGGAGAGCAATTTCGTGAGAGCTCACAAGCATTCCGGGAGGAGAATCTCCAGCTTTTAAATATCCCCCAACTCCATGGCCGACCTGAGGAGCCATGCTGCTGTTGGTTCTAATTTGGGGGAGTGCTTTGTTTAGCAAATGCACATTTTTAATGTATTATTATTGGCATTTATATAGCACCAACAAATTTCGTAGTGCTTTATAAAGAGGAGATTTAACAACAAACTAGAGAATTACAAAAAATTGCAGGAACAATAGGTTGAAGAGGACCCTGCTCAAACGAGCTTATAGTCTAGAGGAGGTGGGATATAAAGCACAAATGTAATATATTTAGATGTAGAAGTATATAATATATATCACAGTTAATGTATTCCTACTTACTGTAAATTTAATTTCCTTGCCATAGTCATGGCAGCACAATAATGGGTAGCTCCTCCCTATCCCTTATTAGACATGAACCTATTAAAAAGAACGGTATAAATACCCTCCTACCCCTCCTATCCTTAGTCTTGTTTCCAGCAATATCCCTGGGTGGAATCTATTTGGGAAATGCTTCCTTTTCCATTATCATCTGGAAGACCTTGTCTGATAGGCATATTTCTCCTGGATCCTATTCCGATGAGCGGAGAAAGACTGCCAATGAATTCTGAATCCTGTGATTACCATCTCCAAACCATGTCTGTACTCAGGGTGTAAGACACTTAATAGGTGACACCGAGATCTCTTGAACCTCGCCTTGTACTTTGCAACTGATCTCTATTCAAATGTATACCAGATAATGCTGAAAATTGCTTGAGTGCTTTAACACAGCAGACTGCTCCATAATAGTTGGAGTGGAGGTCTTGGCCAACAATGCTTTATTGTATGTGGTTCCAAAGGATATTCTCCTATCACCAGCACCAATTCCTTCTGGTAGGCTGTGGACTAATCCCAAGATATGGATATGGAATTTGTGGTATCTGTAGTAACTCTGGACTTACCACCTCCATTCTCTTTTAAGCCTGTATTCCAATGCAGCGCCATATAATATAAGGGACCTAGATACAAAGGCTAGAATGAAAGCCTGTGGCAACTGATGCGTAGACAATAGGATGAATAAACCATACTCTTTCACCATAAAGACTCTTAGTCCACCAGCCATCCATAGGAAAGGTGATGAAAAACTTATTACAACATTCATTTAGTATCCGTGTTTAAAAGGCATGCATTCAAGTTTCCCAATAGTTGAGGACAAAACAATTTGTTTCCCAATATTTTAGCACAAAACTTGAGCTTGTTCACTTACTTCCCTTAGACCATAAACTCTCAGGCCACTTGATAATATACACCCCCTAAGGGTACCTGGGTTTCTTGCAAGTTTTTCCTTGCCAAATTTACCAATCTGCCTTCTATATATAATCTATAATATCTGAAGTAGGTATAGAGGGGATTACTGGTGCTTCCAGACAGGCTGATCCAAGACACTTCTCATCTAGTGACATCTCAACAGCAGTCTTGTAAAGGATCCTCCATTGTTAAATGATCCAGCAGCTCCTTTCCCATTGAGTTATCATCATATGGGATAACTGCTGGCCTGCTCTCTTTTGTTTGAGAAAAATTAAAAAGGAAAATAATAAAATAATAGAAATAAAAATGAAGAATGACTTACCCATGGCTCTTAGAGCGTGGTCTTATTTTAGAGGCTTAAGAATCTGCTTCCATGCCTGCAACTTTGATGCAAAAATAGATGAAAAAATAAAAGTGTTATATCCCTTTAAGTGCCAAAAAATGCCTTTAAAACTTACACAACCAGCAAATGATAACACAACAGAGATACTTGTATTACTGCAAAGACTTTTAGCACTTTCAGTAAGAATTGAGAGCAAACTGATAGCATCAAGTACACCACTTGTCTCATAAAAATAAAAGTAACTTTATTTTATGAGGCAACTTGGCTTGGTAATCATGAACAGTATGGATGATAACTAATTTTTCCATGCTCAAACTTTAATTTGTTATCCTTGAACACTACAAAACATAACTGTAGTAGTTACAAACATACCTGTACATGACAGTGCTCATAAAGCTTGTCATCTTGTCATCTTGATGATTTTAATATATACCCTCTCATCAGTGTGCATGGCCTCACAAGATCGGTCATTGAAAACCGAAATAAAAATTCTATTAGGCATGCGCGAAAACGGCCGAGGCGCATGTGTGAAAACAACCGATGCGCTTATATGTGAAAACAGCCGCAATGCACAAAAACGGAAGACACGCATGCACGAAAAACACCCAGACTGATGCGACTGCAATACTCGTGATCGTGAGCGTAGAACCCCGAGACATGGCGCCAGAGGAAAATGCCGTAAATCCGGTGAAAACCTACAGGACGCTTGATGAAAGGACTCCTGAGAAAATGTGGCATCTGGGCAGCATGACCAAACTAACAGAAAGGACAGAAAATACAGTATAGAAATTGGGGAGGATGGGAGAGGTTGGAGGGGTATTTATACCATTCTTTTTAATTTAATCCCTAATTAGGGATGGGGAGGAGCTACCCATTGTTGTGCTGCCATGGATATGGCCAGGAAATATTTATGTGTGTGCATTTTAAACTAGATTTTGTACAAATATTGTTTGCTAACCATGGTCATTTTAGGCGAGGAGCATCATAATAAAGTTGAATCAACTATTTACTACAAAGTGCTGATTGAAGGTGACTGGTGCAAATAACTTTTCAGGTTAAATTTCCAAGCTCTTGTTTTCTTGGCTTTCCATTACAGACGTCCCTAATTTTTTTTGTTATCCTTTATCAGACAGTTCTAGCAAGCTATTGGTTACTGATGATTTAACATGCTCCTTGCTGTTGGTCACTGTCCAGTGGATTAATATAACTCTTTCATGTGTTACACTGCTGACAGAATGTGCTTTTAATACAAAAAAAAAAATTATTTTTTTTTTTTTTTAGCTTTGCTGATTTCATAACCATATGCTTATATCTTAAATTCTCAGTTTCCACTCCACCCCTCCTCCCCCTCTCTATCCCAGACATCTGCAAGTCAGGGCATAGACACCAAGCTGCCTTGTGTAGAGGGAACATGATCTATTGCCTATTAATGACAAAAGCAGCCCTTTTCTTGAAACCTATGTACTGTTAGGCACTTGTGTCTACATGATTTACACAATGTCCATTCCATCATAGAATAGCTTAGAAACAGCTTCGTCGGTCTTATTAATCTTCTATATAGCTTTGTACATTCATTAGTAGCCAAGGTGCTTATTTAATGGCTATCTTAATATTTTGTGACACTTATTGTTGGGATTTGCTGCCACCTAGTGATAAACACATTTTCTTAATTAAATGTCTATCTAATTCTGGAAATCTTGAATTTGAAATCTAAAGTTAAAAATGCTGCTGTTGAATCAGACAACATTCTTCCTCTGAAACCAGTTCAGGAAAAATGCAGTTGACAAGATCATTAAAGTGCCACAAAGATACATTCCAGAATCCTATTTTGCAGTAATGCAGGGTAGATAAGTATATCTTCGCTCTAGGTAAATAAAAGCCATGTGTTAGAGGTACTCTCCTTGAAGATGATGTGTATTTTTTATCCTCTCACTCTTAGCCAGACTTTACTTCTGCAACCCAGAGCGGGATAGAGGGACCTAGACAGGTTACAAGTCCCCTTTCCCCCCCATTATTCTTCACATATGGATGAGTAATGAGTCCAAGCAAATTCAGGGCACTTGTCTAACCCCTGGGCCCTAGGCAGCCACATAGGGTCAATTTATTGTTAATCCTGATCTGCTGTAACCCTAATCCCCAAAATCTACATTAATAGCATACCTTAAAGTGTATTTTTTTGTCTTGTCTTTTGTCTGTTATTATTATTATTGTTTGCAGTTTTTAATGATTTTGCCTTCATATGAACTTAACCATTGCATTTGTTAAGAAAGACAACTGCTGATAAGCACACCACTGTTCGGGGAGATTGCATAAACTATGTTATCTGGAAAAATAATTTGAGGATCCAATTACAAACAATAAATATCATACTTAAAGTAAATCGCATTGGTGCTCCTCCACGGGGTATTGAAGTGACCACAAAATCTCAGACAATTAATCAAAAAAGTATTTCTAATCCCAGAGAAAATCTTACTGACAAACAAGTGCAAGCCCATATAAACACACATTAGCAGTCTTTGAGTGACAGTAAATATGATGGATTGTAGAAACACAAAAATGTAGACACCATAAATGGTAAATAGTCCACAATATATAAATGATAGTCCCAAGTAAAATATTAAATTCAATCTGTGGTGTATCTATAATGAAGCACACGTTATGCGTTTGTCTACTTCATCAGTGGTTAATTAACATCCATAGCTTACGGATTCCCACATTTCAAGCTCATTAAATGAATCAATAAGTATATGGTCCGTTCAATGAGAGAAGTTGAAATATGTAAACTATGTTGGATAAATAAAAATGAACAAAAAAACCCCCAAATTATGCTTCACTTAGCAAAATCACTTAAACCGGTATACATTTATACAGTATACCAATTATAGATATTTGAGAAATACTTAAACCCTAACTCAGTCTTTACATACTTGTAGTGAAGCAAAATCAGAACCTTCAATAAGACTTCAATAAGCAAATTATAATAGGGACTAGAAAACTAACCAAGTTATGAATGAGCTATTTTCTAGAACTTATCTTTGTTACCTATGCACTTCTGAAAAAAGGTCATTTGAATCCCAGTATGCGAAATGTTATATCTAATGTGATTTGCTACTTGATGTCCTTATTATACAAAGACAACAAAGTTTCTATTTGTGCAAATACAACACAGATACTATTCTAGTAGAGTTGAAGTTCATATGGACATGACATTATTAGAACTGCATCCAATTTAACATCAATGGGTTGGATTCCTTTAGCAGATTAAGTAAATCCAGACCAATATTTTTAAACTTTTGATATTTGAAGTTCATATGCATATATTTTTGAATGTAAGAATTGCACCATTTAATAAAAATATGCATGTATAGTGATAAAATTCCCTTTCCAGTTCCTTTCAGCAGTAATGAAATCTAAAAATTTTTTATTG